CAAGCAGGTGGGTTGGTTATAGGTAAGATAAGGCTGTAGCACATGCCTGATGATATCACCAGGTGCATAGCGGGAACCAAATTGACCTGAGACATGGGCTTATGGTACAGTCAAGCTATTTTCTGAGCTTGGTTTTTATACACAGAATTGCTCCATCTAGCATGATAGTGTCCCCTGTATTGGTTATACATTTGCTTTCAACAGTCTCCTGATGAAGTAATAAATATAATTTTGCCGGCACTATTGTTGCAGAGGAAATGTGGGAATTTCCCTTACAGGGGGTTGACATGGGGAAAGAAATAGTTCATTAACGTTCATTAATATTGGCTTGAATTCCTTGAAGAAACTTTTTTTTTTTTTTGCTCTAGTGACCCTATCAACACTCACACATCCACAAACAGAGTTCCTGTTTTAAAAATACTTGTCTGTTTCTTTATCTGTACTTAATTTCTTCAGTTCCCATTTGGGCTGTCCTATTAGGATTAACCTGTGTTTTGTTTTGTTTTGATTAGGGTGCAATCCTATCCATGTTTGTATGGGGAAAAGTACTACAATCCCCAGGATGCTGCAACTATACTTAGGATTACACCCTTACTCTCCAGTTCTTCATCTTCTTCTTCTTTTAAGTACATTCAGGGAAAGGTTGCTAGAAATCTTATTATGGGATAGCTTTATTCTGGTGAATGCTGAACAAATTGGAGTCCTAGACTTTCCAAAGGGCTATTGATTTTTGTTGTTGTTCCAGTGCCTTCATTTTTCATTGTCTTAATTCTTAGGGGGGATTTTAAAAGAAAAGCTAACATTCAGGGTGTGCTCGAAGTTGGTCCTTAGGTCTTTGAGAATTTTTCAGGTAATTAAAAGTAACACAATTACTTGGCACCCACTGCAACTAAATCAGCTTCTACACACACACACACACGCGCGCGCGCGCGCGCACACACACACACACACACACAGAGAGAGAGAGAGAGAGAGAGAGAGAGAGACCTCATCAAATATCTTCCAAAAATTCCCAAAGCTGAACAGCATTTCCCAAACACTACTGAACAATTGTAGTATAGAAATTGTAGCTTCCCTCACATTGTACACAATCAATTCTCCTTCAAATGTAGTTCTGTTTTTAAACCCAGTGCTATCCTGAACCAAGCAAACTTTTAATCCATATTCACTGCTCAAACTGAACAGGTATAGCTGTTTTCAGAGCAGAGAGGTCTCCTGCTTTACCTGCCTGACATTTCAGATTAAAGATTAAAGCCAGCCATAGGGGGTGATATGACTAACAACTCTAATTCAGCACCACACATTTGCTTGAATATGCAGCGATTCAAACACCAAGGTATAAGAAATAAAAACTCAAAGACCTTGGCCTGGATGGATGAATTGATAAATAAAGTTTCTGTCTCTCCATGTGTTTCCCATGGTATATTAAACAAGAAACTTTTCAGTTCATCCTTTTTCTGATGTGTGTGAATGTGTATATGATTTTTGGTATGTACTTATCATAAAATGAGTCAAATTCTCATCAATTCTTTTTTCATGGTACAAATGGGCATGACAATGGACTGAAAACACTCTTTTTTCTCTTTCTTCTAGTTTGCATAATGGAAATTCTTGGAAATATGTAACATTGGAATCTCAGATGGTATCCTGCAAATGCAAATTCTGTAAGCATTCAGAGAAAATCATGATTCTTCCCTCCCTCCCTCCCTCCAAATCTACTTTCTGTCCAGGTACATACCTCAGGGACTCTCTCATCCCAGAACTGCACCTCCAGACCACCTAGAATGAGGATCCTATTCATATCCCTCAAAGTTACCCTCTAAAAGCAGAAGAAGTGAATCTCTGGATGCACATGGATTAAAAGGCTATGTTTTAGCTTGTAACCATGATGATTCAATTTGGATCAGCTATCCTTTAATCAATCTATCAGACTCAAAGTGTTGTAGAAAACTCACAAGCAACAGAATCTTTAAAGATTGTTAATGATTGTGAACACTCGGCTGTGATGATGGTGTTCGTTAATGTGCAGCGATCTTCCATACATGGTATCAGCTATGATATGTCCTATTACTAGAATGGGGAATGTGTTCCCCTTCAGCTGTTTCTAGACTACAGCTCCCATCATACCTCACCATCGGCTATGCTGGCCAGAGCTGATGAGAACTGTAGAACAGAAGTGTATGGAGGACCACTTGTTGTCCATCCGTGGATTTATATTCCCTTTCACTTGTGATAAGTGATTCACAATGCAAAGGGAGTTAACAGTAACATTCCCCAAGCGTCAGCAACCAAATTTCATCTCATAACAGTAAAAACAAAGGAAAAATCATAGCCCTTTGTATCTTTTTACCTTGACTCTAGCACTGTAACTATATCCACACTTCTTGGTAATTCAATCACGCTGAATAAAGTGGAAATGGTTTCTGAATTGCTTTATTCAGGCTCGGGTTTCATATGTCTTATTTGTAAACTATGTTTCCCCAGGTGTGTTGGACTGCAGTTTCCAGAATTCTTGACCAGTGGGGATGCTGTCTGGTATGAGGAGAATCTGGAAGGCACCAGGTTGGGGCATGTTTCTGATCTTGCTGACCAGTGCCAAGTAGGGGAAGTGAAATATTCCTTGAAACGAATTAAAAGTAGGATACGTATTTGTTTCCTTTATATCTGTTATACAAAAAGAAATGGGAATTCAAACAAATGTGCTTTGAATGAAAAAAAGTATAGCCTTTGTTTTTCATTTGTTTCTATTGGAAATAAATCTAATTTCAACAATTTATACAGATTACATAAAATTAAGGAGTGGGGGAGAGCGTACACAAAAGGTCTGCATCATTTTGCTTTAAAAAAAAAAAAAAACAGAGTGCCTAAGATGTCATAGCCATCTGACATTTCATGGTTTACTCCATGTGACAAGTAGGAAAAGACCTTCACACCTAGATGGAAAACACTGAAGCTGCAAACAGAAGTAAACTGGTTATGTTTTCTGTTAACAGCCATGGGAACTGAACAGCCATGGCAGGGGTGTGTGTTCTTCTTCCTTCTCTTTTCTCCTCCTATATTCTTTATTTACTTATTTTATACTGTTAATTTTAATTTTATATTATTATGTTTGTATCTCAGTGTATTTTTTGTATTTTGTATTTAGTGGTAATTTATTATGTTCTATTGTATTTCAATGTATTTTATTGTGTTGTAAGCTGCCCCAAGGCTTTGGCAAGGGGCGGCATAGAAATGTTATGATAATGATAATGATAATGATGATGATGATGATAATAATCTCTTGCATGAAGCATGATGTTGCTCATGGGGTTCTGTGCCTGGCCAGTAGCACTTCCTTCATTGCCTCTAGAGGGTAGGAGTAGCTTTCAAGCACTTCTCGCTTCAGGAAATCCCTGCTAGTCTATCCAGTCTAGCATGAGATAAGGGCAGACACTGGCTAGCTTTGAGAGGAATGACCACATTTTCCATTCTGGCCAAATCCTTTTAAATGGTAAGCAGTATGCTTCCGATCCTGCAGTAACAAGGGGAGAAAGTTCCTTAAATGTTGAGAAAAAGAAATGAAAGATGACGGCACTGATTACAAAATGAATGAAAAGCTTAATGACAATTTTAAAAAATGTGTTCTGAGAGAAAGGATTGCAGTAGTTAAACGAGGCCCTTAATGCTAATAATACTTTCATTAATAGTTGGTATTCCAAGCAAAAAGTTAGGAATTGAGAGCTTTAGGGCAGCTTATACAAGTTTTGATGATACTGAAGTTGTCAACTTTCAATGCATTTATGCATGTGTGGAAAACACATCTGAGTACATACCATCCCATCATGAATGGGGTTCGACAGGTTACCCACACTTGCCAGCGCACGGAAGGAATTGCCTCTGATGGAGTAGAAATATAGCCCAGGGTATGCTTAATCTCAGATGTGTTTGTGAATCTCTCTCTCTCTCTCTCTGTCTCAGTTATTTTAATGTATTCTTTGCAAGTCATATATCCCATGGGGAGAACATCTATATATTTATCTATGAAACATTGTATCATCTCTCAAGGAGTATTAAGAGTGAGCTTTATTCACACATCTTCCAACACTTCCTCCCACCTACAATAAGGTTTCCATCTCAGATATAACAGTGGTAGAAATTCAAAGAACTCACCCACTCCCTTATATCCCCAAAGAAAGAGTGTTCCAGAAGTGGGGGAAATGGGTCCAAATTAAATACTGTGTCTTAGAGCCAGGGTTAAGACACAATCCTATGCCAGTTTAGATGTGTGGGTGGGAATCCTAGAACAGCATTCCCCAACCAGTATGAATTTAGGCAGGACACAAACTTTTCTCTATTAATCTGTCACTCCCTTTCTTTTTAAGAACCAGGAGAATTTGCACAAATTGTAGAGTGGAGACCCACATTTTTCCCAAAATCTGAACTGTCAGAAAATTTAAGGTGGCCATGACACAATGTGTGCATATATAGTGAGAGGAAGATGCTTCTATGTCTTATGTTAACAATATATCAGACTCAGTTTGCAGAGATGTGCAGTTCTTTGCCACTTTGTGGAGATACACAGTTCCTTCCTGATTTATTTTATGAATACCCAATTCCTTCACAAATCCTTCTGATTAATACTCAATTCCTTCCCATATTGCAGAGATACACATTTCCTTTCCAGGTAGCAAAAACAGGCAACAACAACTTGAATCCAATGCGTCAGCCCCGATTTGTAGGGATGCCCCAATTCCTGGTTCCCGATTTGCACAAATACTTTGAGCTGCTTGCTGGAAGCCGAACCCACACCAACTCACTCTGCGTTGGGCTGTTGGGCAAGTAATGTGTGGGGGAAGTCCACTGAACTTCAGCGGAATGAGTTTCCCATCCCTAGCTACAGTTGTGGTGCTGGACCCAGCTTGATGGAGCAACAACACTCAAGTATCAAGTGCACCCAAGCTCCTCTCTCATTCATGCCAGGGTGGATTCTTTTCCAATAAGCAGAAATCTGAATTACCAACCTTGCCGAACAGTTTTAAAATTAAAGGTCTGGAAGCCTCCTGTCAGAGCTGAGGAGTCGATCACATCCACACCGTATTCACTCTGGCTCCGTCGGTAGAGAGTCACACCGACTACAATGATGGCGACTGCAATGACAGCGGCACCCAAGCCTGAGTACAAGGCAATATCCGTTGCATTTTCAATGTCTGGAAGGAGAGAAGGAATGGCACTAAATGAGCAACAGATGGCAGGCTTCCTGTGCGAAAGACATAGATGCGGACCAATTAACATCCACGAGAGCCAGTGTGGCACAGTAAATAGAGTGATCGACTAAGCCTAGAGAAGGGGTTAGAGTGTTGGGCTGGGATGTGGTAGCATTTGAGTCCTCTGGGTGTGGTGTGAAGACAGAATGGAGAGGAGGAAGGCCGTGTACACTGCCTCTGGTTTCTTGCAAGAAAAGACAAGGCGGGATATACATTTAATAAATGAATGAATATCAAAATATCGACTAAGCCTTAGCTGAGGTGTTTCTGCCACCCTGTCTACTAGAATTCCCACAGGATAATGCTGCATTAAGGTTCTAGGAGCATTCTGGAGGCAGGGTGGTGTAGTGGTTAGGAGTGCTTAACTGGGGAGTCAGGAAGTCTAAGCTGTAGTCCCCACTCAGCCATAAAACAAACTGGGGGACCTGGGTTCAGAAGCCTAAAACTTTACAGGATTGTTGTGAGAATCATATCCAATTGTTTTGTAAAAGACAGTGCATTTTGATAGATATGTGGTACTTGTGAAAGCATTGCCCAATTCACATTCCTCTCAAAGAGGGGCTTTTGGGGGCAAAATGTAAGGAAGCTCCCACCCATGCAACACAGCTTTTTTGCTGCCTCTGAGAGCCAGGATGGCACAGTGGTTAGAGTGCTGATCTGGGGACAGGGAGATGCAAGTTCCAGTCCCCACTTGGCCATGAATCTCACTGGGTATCACTGAGTCCCAGTCTCAGAGGGTTGTTGGCACCTGGAAAGGAGGAGAAATATGCATGCTATCAGAGCCCATGGGCTAATGTAGTAGCATATAACTCGAAAAAATAACTAAATAACTAAATATTATAATAAAGCAACCAGTAAATAAAACATCCATAAGCAGAGCATTGACTCTATAAAACCTGCACTGCTGAGGTGGGAGAACAGTTACAGTGAAATTCTGATTTCGCAGTGGTCCATGTCCAGCCTCTTAGACTTCTGTTTTATTGTATTATTACTAGTTATTGCACTGGTATCCCACTTTACTTACTCCTGCAAGGCACCCAGGTTGGCTTGCATGATCCTCTTCTTCTTCATTTTATCCTCACAAAAACCCTAAGAGTCAGGTTAGAATCAGTGACTGGCCCAAAGTCAATGAGTGAGTTTCATGGCTAGGGGCCTAGAACCCAAATCTCCCAAGTCCCAGTCCAAGGACAAGGAATCTTGCCTGGAACAAAGAAGTGTCCATCTCTATCATACATGTTACAATAAAATGGCTCTTCCCGGAAAGTGGATGCAAAGTCACATGGGCGCATGGCATTCCGCGGTTGATCAAGCAAAAAAGAGAAGTGCACCTGTCCGTTTTCCTTTCTCCTACATTCAATTAACAAAATAAATCTCATCTCCTTTATCTCCTGAACTTTTCAATTTTTGTAAACTCTTACACATATCAAGCCACATACTTATCCATTTGACTTGCAAAATTCAAGGAAAACTGCTATTCCCAGAATGCAGAGGAGAATTCTCTTGTACCAGCCTGCAGTAGAGCTGGCAAAGATGAGACCTTCCAAAGAGATGGAAGCATAATTCCTCCTCCATCATTTGCAGGATTATGACCATTCTATGCAAAACAAGAGAAACATGGAGGTCACCTCCATGTTCTTCCTGCCTGTGAAGCACATACATAGACATTGTTGGCTAAGTGGCATTTTGGAGGGGAAGTGGGGGCATGACACCATTAGGGTGCTGTGTCTTGGTAGAACTGGTTTCTTGTCTCTCCATCCCCTGGAATACCCCCAGGAACCCTTCTCTAAGAATGCTGCTATGTCCTCAAACAAGTAACTATTGTGTGTGTATGTGTGTGGAGGGGGGTAGAGTTGTCCACCAGCTGTCAAAGGGCAGCTGGAAGGGGAAGAGGAGCATTTGAGTGCTAATTTCCAACTCTTCTCTGACCTTGACCTACTTCTCCTAAACCACTATGGCTGTCTAGCTGCTGTCTTGGGCTGATAAGGTTGTGCAGTCCATGAGACAATCATGGTTAAGTCTAGTGGGGAATCATCAGGATGGTGGTTGGAGATAAGCAGGGTTCCCCAGGGCTTTGTCCTGGGACAGATTCTGTTCAATCTTTTCATCCATGACCTGGAAAAGGGGATGACCAATCTGCTGATCAAATTCACAGATGGTACTAAAATGGGTGCAGTGGCTACAACTGAGGAGCAGGTGCTCCAGATCCAAATGGATCTGGACAGACTTTGGAAGTGGTCTGAGGACAACAGAATGGCATTCAATGAGAATAAATGTGAGGTCTTGCCCTTGGAGTATAAGGAATGGCTATTATAGGAACAGGTTAGGGGACAAGTGGCTTGAGAGCAGCACTTATAAAAGGGATCTCATGGTACTGGTCAGCTGCAGACTAAACATGAGTCAGCAGTGTGATGCAGTGGTCAAGAGGTGACCACCATCCTTGGTTGCATCAGCATTGTGACTTGGTGGTCAAGAGGGTGAACAGCACCCTAAGATGCTTAGCCAGAAGAATGGCTTTTAGATCAAGAGAGGTATTACTGCCACTCTGTATGACTCTGGTGCACCCACAGCTGGAGTATTGTGTTCAATTCTGGGTCCCTCATTACAAGAGGGACTCAATTACAAGAGGGATTCCAACTCTCACTACAAGGTTGGAATCATTGCAGCAAAGGGCCACAGGATGGTGGCTGGTTTGCAGGGGAAGCCATATGAGGAGAGACTGAGGGAGCTGGGTCTTTTCAGCCTTGAGAAGAGGAGATTCAGAGGGGACCTGTTAGTGACATACAGGTATGTGGAGGGGTTCCACATGGAGATGCCATTCAGAGATGAGCTGTGACCTTTTTTCCTCTGCAGAGGAGGGAAGGATGTGTTCCAATGGAGCAAAACTCAAGGAACCAAGGTTCAATTTGGATGCCAGGAAGTACTTCCTGATGGTTAGGACCCCTAGGGTACTTATTTATTAAAAGCTTATATATGCTGTCCTATTATATAAAAAGCTCAGGACGGCATGGAATCTCAGGACAGGTAGTGAATGGGCTTCCACAGGAGGTGCTTGAAGCCCCTTCAGTGAGGGTGTTCATGGATAGGCTGGACATGCACATGGTAGGCATTTCAGGAACGGAGCTGGATAGAACCAGGGGTTAGACTAGATGGCCAAGGAGGCTTCTTATGATTCTCTCTGTTTCTATGTTTCTATAGAAGAATTCAAAGCCTGACTTGGCTTACATGAAAACATCTCTCAATTTTCAGTTTTGCCCACATTCAGTTAAAAATAATCATACAAATTTTAAGTCCTTCCCCTGAATATCTCTGAATGTTAGTAGAGTATTATGAAAACAAATGTGAAACAGAATTCTTACCCATCACTGTACATGTCAAAACACTCAATTGGCATAGCCGCATTATACCAAGTACCACCACCAGTTCAAACTGCTCCATTCTACATAAACGAACCTCTGCAAATAATTTGAGGAAAGCTGCCACTCTGTTCCACTGGTCTATCCCAATGTGAGTCTATGATTTTGGTTTCTCTTTCTAATGATATTCTTGGACTAGTGTTTCAACATTTGCACATTCTGCTGTGGAACACATAGTTGGTGTGCAAAGCATGGGGTGATGCTGGTGGTATTGGGACTGGGAAGTAAAAATGTATAGGAGGCTGAGAAACCCCCTTCCCTCGGCTGAAAATATTTGAGGAACATGCCCCTACCTATAACTGGCTTATTACTCTTCATTTTTTCAAGTCCGATACCCTTTCTTACCACAGTTCTACCCTACCTGAATAACATACCGCTAGTATCTAACCACCTGCACTGTGCTTTATGGAGGTAATCCAAATGTCCTTTTGCACCTTCAAGAGAAACATGGAGAAGAAGACCCAGGAGACAGAGATGAGGGCAGCAATGAAAGCAGAACACCTGTGTCCAGTTCGATGCTATTCCTTTACTCTTTCTAAAACGTGGAAACCTCTGATGCCAAAAATGGGTTAACCTTAGAAATTCACAGTTCAAAAATACAAACAGTGAAATACGTTATTGGGGCCATGCATTTTATTTGATGTGTTTTATTGGTATTCCCCTCCCCACTCATTTTTTAAGGGGAGAAAAATCTCCTCTCCTTGCTGAAAAAGGCATTAATCTTTGTCAGTGGGGCCAATTAGGCAATGTCACAGTGCTGGGTTGTCTTTTTCCCCCTTTTTTAACAATGCTATTTCAGGAAAAATGAAGAGAGTCCAAAAATGGGTTCTGTTCTACTTGAAAAAATGGGGAAAAGTAAAACCAAACACAAACTATATTGAGAAAGGACAAGAAGGAGGGAGTTATATAGATACACGGATAGATATGAGCAAGGTCTCAAAATAAGACCTTTCAAGCTACCACCACTTTCGATATCTCCGTGTATGCTGGCCAGGCCCTGCCCCACTCCTTCATTCCCCACAAGTCTCACTGTGTTGAAAGTCAAGGTACACAGGGAGTACTACTTACCTTTCCTGAACTGCAAGTAGACCTTGTAGGTAAACCTGCACCTCCCATTTCAAAAAGCCATCCATTTTTTAAAATTTTAACAGAAATATATTGCATACCAATTGCCTCTGAAAATGTTCTGTTTTCTCTTAAAACTTTGTTCATGGCTAATGAAAGATGCCAGCTGTGAAAACTCATTTGTCATTTCTGCTGTTTCTAGCGAGCAATCATTTGTCTGCAAGGTGAGTGTTAGCTGCCTATCCTAAAGATGCCATTTCCATGGATTATCCAGGAAAACTAGCACAACCTTTGATATTGCTGCCACGGTGACCCCAGAAGCATTTTTCTGCAGTTAGTGAGTGATGCATGAAGAGAGCAAAATCCATTCTGCACATATTTTGCAGATTTTCAGGTGGCTTTCGCACCATCATCTGTCCATCAACAGATCTGGAATTCACAGGAATCTCTTTGTGGTCTGAACAA